CGATACTTTCCACCGCAGTCAGCGCCATCCCACAATGCACAGCTCTCACACTCTATAGTATCAGCTGCAACAGGACTTAACAGAGGTTGTGCATAGACGCATGAGCAACAATAACTACAGTGACGAAGCAGTAAACAGAGAGGAAAGGATGGGAGTTAGTGGAAGGATGAGAAGAAATGAAGAGAAACAGGTGGAGGAGACTCTTCGCTCCTTTCTGTCATTGAGAGGACATTAAAAGCTGTCTTGTGATGCGATAGCTGCACCTGTCTGTCCTCCCCTGCTCCTTCAGACAGGTCACCGTGTGAAGTGAGGACAGCAGCTTTTCCTAAATCACCTTGACTTTGGTTTTTATTGCATGGTGTTGAAATCAAACTGTTGCCTCAAACAAACCATCCTGTACGGGGTTATTGGCTTTGTTGGTCATGTTTTCATGAAGTCCTGCACTGGATCGATACTGCCAGCTGTTTGACAATGACCCTGTCTGTCCTGATAAACTGCAGCGCGGCTGAAAACTCGCACAGAGGAACCGTCACAGAGGAGTGAACAGGTTGCAAGAGTCACATTTCTATCGGCTTATAGACGGATATAAATATCACCGGCATTGTAATGCAGTGACTACACATTCAGCAGTATATAAAATGCAATAATCGTGTGTATTGTAAAGATGCATCCCCTCCCCTCTCTTACTCAATACTTCCCTGTTGCTATGGGATAAAAGAAAACATGTGGATGCTGCATGGAGGTGCTGCGATGGTCACTCACATAGGTGGACTGCACACTCCGCCAGTGTCCAAGCCCACAGCAATACATCAAGACATCCAGTAGAGGAGGGGACAGGCCGGGGAAGTGGTCTCAGGCCGGGCTCACACACAGGGTCCTCATGGCACAGGTGATGCTCCTGATCGCCACCTCTTCAGGGAGTTCCCGCAATAAGATACAGACTCTTTTGGGTCCTCCAGGGCGTCCCTCTCGAGAGTTCAGTTCTCAGATGAGTTCAGGTGATCCGGACGCCAAAAAGCATCTTTGAAGTCGTGTCCCGTGCGCCAGTCTGATGAGAAGTGTTTAAGGTTAGTTTGTCTCCGTGTGTGTGTCCTCAGCTCATCTCAGAAGGACAGGTGGTTCAGCTTTCATCCTGTGTTTATCTACCCTCCCAAAACCAAACCTCACACCTCTCTGTTTTGACTTACTCTGTCAGAAAAACCTCCCTTCCACCTCCCCCGGCTTAAGCCCCCTGAATAGACTCGCTTCAGAAACTAAATGTCATCTTCTTCTCTATGTGTGTGTCTCTCAGTGCTCTGTAGTCTGTCAGATTTATCCAATCACAGCTGCAGCCACACTCCACAGCCATCTCGTCTGCCTCCCTGTCTATCCCTCCCTGGTAAGTCCTGGGAGTCTAGATTTTCGATTTCTGTGCGATTCCCCTCGTCTCCCCTCCTCAAAAATTCCAGCTCTATAGCTCCTCCTTCAATATCTCTCACTCCAGCACGCTGCTTCCCTCTCTCATCAGGACCGTTCCTGCTTACCTGAGTCACTCTTTGCACTCCTGCTGTGAATGCGCGTGTGTGTGTGTGTGTGGTGTGTGTGTGTGTGTGTGTGTGTGTGTGTGTGTGTGTGTGTGTGTGTGTGTGTGTGTGTGTGTGTGTGTGTGTGTGTGTGTGTGTGTGTGTGTGTGTGGTGTGTGTGTGTGTGTGTGTGTGTGTGTGTGTGTGTGTGTGTGTGTGTGTGTGTGGAGGCTGCAGCTGAAGCTCACCGCTCTCTCTCTGTTGCCATGCTAGAGCAGGTAACATTCGGCTAGCGCAGGAGACACACAGCCTGAATTCAAATGCACCCTCCAGCCTCTCAGATTTACAAAGCCTCCACCCCTCCTTAACAGCGGGATGAGGAGGCACTGGGGAAAATCTCCCCTCTTTTCAAACCATTTAATTATATAAATGAGTCCCAAAACCTCTTGGCACAAGTGGAGAAAATGAGTCAGTATATTTCAGCGTGTATCCAAAAGATATCAACTTTTTTTCTAAAAGTACAGGTGGGTTTCTGGATAGTTTTTCAAATAAAGGTGATCATTTTAGGCAAAGAAGAGTCAACAGAGGCTCAGTGAGGCATTGCTATCGTCAGCAAGGAAATATAATGACAATGTACATCTCAGTTTCTTTGCAGGCTGAGTATGAAGTGAAAACAGGATGAATTAATGCAAAGCTTCTCTAAGAATGCAGGAAAAGTTAATTATATAACCAAAAAAGGAACAAGGAAATAAAAGCCTCTGACTCCTCAGAAAGCTTTCGAGTTGAACGTGGATCCGAGAGACTCAGATGAAGATACAGGCTATTGCTTCTCCCTTTGATCCTTTGCAGCACTCACTGTGTGTCACAGGAATAACAGAAGAGCTCTCTGGACTGCCATCATGAGTACAAAATGGCAGCAATAACTGAAGCTGCACTAATGCTTTCTTGCAGATTATAGTATGAATCATCCTGTGGGGAAATTAAGGGAAGTTAATTTTAGTTTTCAATAAATGAAAGCAGGCTAGTTTTTCCCCTCCCTGTGACTTATGGCACATTTCCACTGCAGTGGGGTAGCCCCGTTTAAGCGTCCCCGCTTAGGCCTCAGGCTGCCTCGCTGGCCGTCCGAGGCCGTGGCGCATTTCCATTACAGTTTAGGACCTGGGGTAGCAACGCAGTGTAGGCGGGGCGATCGGCTTTGTTGTTCCGTCGAGCTCCCGCTGGATTTTATCATCCCCAATGAGATGTAGGAATGTCGTCACCTCCTCGGTCGACCACGGTGTGCTTTTCTTTGACGTTGCCATTTTTGTAGCTCCTCCGTTTAGAAAAATGCTGTGTATAAAAATGCTGCAAGCTTGCTTCTAGATATATATGCGACGCTAGGGATGAACTCGCACGCGATCTTGTGACGATTCTCTCTGACCAATCAGCAGTCGAGAGTGTTGACGTCACTAGTTCAGCCCTGTCCCTGGTCTGATAGAACCACGATTTTATGGGGCCGGAAAAAGAGGGAAAAAGTACCCGCTAGCCGGTGCTAGGCTATATGGAAAGGCCACCAAAAACTGGCCTGGCCGCTTGAGGACGATTAAGGACGCTTAAACGGGGCTACCCGCTGCAGTGGAAATGCGCCATTATAGTCCCCTCACTCTGCGTGTATCATTGATAAAGCATTAAAACAAATCTTGCCATTCAGTGTGACAAAGGCGATTCACCAAAACACATCAGGTGCAGAGGGATATTTGACGCTTTATCTCAAAATCCTTTATGTCGTACCTTTTGTGTGTTGTCGGGGGACACAACAGCCGCCAATTAGACACTCCCTTAAACTGTGTGTCCCCTCGCCCCGGCTCATCCATCAGACAGACAAAGACCAAGTGCTCCATGCAGGGTTTTTCTGTCAGAAATGCCCTGGTGGAGGACTGGCGATTATACATCAGCATCTCTCTCTCTCTGCTGTGTCACTGTGGCATTCTGTAGCCACACACACACACACACACACACACACACACACACACACACACACACACACACACACACACACACACACACACACACACACACACACACACACACACACACACACACACACACACACACACACACACACACACACACACACACACACACACACACACACACACACACACACACACACACACACACCACACACACACACACACACACACACCACACACACACACACACACACACACACACACACACACACACACACACACACACACACACACACACACAATGCAGTGAGTTATACTGCCATGAAAACACATAAAGCACCACAGGGCCTGCAGCAAAGGCAAGAGACGAGGGCGAGATGCTGATTCTCAACAGCCAAGGACGAAGAGTTAAAAGCAGCAACACACAAATAAAATGTGCTGGTGCTGTCACAGAGGGGAACACATGGTTAGGAAGCTGAAATCATAAGAGAAGAACGGATAATAAATAAAGTGTCCAAAGTTAACACGGATTAAAGGTAATGTAGAGGAATGATATGGTTAATCACCAATAGCGCTTGGGGGACAAAACTGAAAAGAGAACCATACGGATAGTCCTATAGAAGAGGAACTTTCATGGAACAGTTTAAAAGAAAGTTTAATGTACATAAATGCCACGTTGTTTTTTGTATCAGTGATTATTATTTTCCTATGGAGACATCTGTATGTTTCCAAGAGTAACAACGTCCCCAACCTCAGGGCACAGGTGTGCATTCTGTGCTGAGGAGTTCTTTTGTCTTTTTGTCAAACAATGTGGCAAATTGTGGCAAAATATTGTAGTTTGCACAAACCCTTAATGTATATGACGTTACCCAGTTTGTTCATTCAGTAGAAGCTGAAAAAAAATGTCTTTATGCGTTTGCTGTCAGTTAAAACACAGTCTTTAAGAATTGTCTAACATGGGATGGAGCATTTTGTGGCATTATGACAAAAACCTGACTGTCTGTATCCGATGAGCTCTTCAGGAGCATGAATGAAAGGACATAAGATGTGAATTCAGTCAGATTAAAGGAATGATATGTAAATATTGTCAAAACGGTGACACTTGTCTGAAAACAAAGGATATTTATTTCACAAAGTTTGTGTTGTTTGAAAAGGTTGAGAAGCTTTTGTTTAAAAATCATTATTTATTTTTTCATCACTTTTGTAGTGTGTTAACAAATAGATAAAAAATAGCAGTAAAACTTAAAATTAAAAACAATAAATACATTAGGATTCAATTAGTCACAGAAAAATGACAAAATCTCACTGTACACTCGAGCCTACACACCTTTCTTGTTTTAAATACAGGATCTTTTTTACACTCTGATTTGGATGAACGGCCTGATCATAGATTTGCAGCCATTACAATTCAAAGCATGTTTGTCTTGATCACCAGCACCAGCTGCATGTTTCTCTGGTGCGGCTCCCTCCACATAAACACACCAACTGTTCCTCCATCCACAATCAGAGCGGCCCTGTCATTAACAACAGGCTCTGCCTCTCCTCCTCAAAACATGCTCTGCCTTTTGAAAATCCTCAGCTTAGTCAGGAATGTAAAGTAGATAAAAGTCAGGCTCACCAGCACATTTTTCAACGTGTACAACACGGGTGTGACATAACCAAACACGAAAATGAGAGCGACTCTAAAGACGAAGAAAGGAAGGTCCTGCAGAGCGACTCCGGCAGAACTCAACAGAGGGTTTTGAGGAGTGATGATCATGCGGAGAGTGGACATGAAGGCCAGGATGTAGACGGGGAACACCCAGACCGAGTAGAAGATCAGCGGCTCTCCTGCTACTCTCACCATCTCCACCGTGTCAAACCAGAACAGGAAACAATCCACCAGCACCTCTGACCTCATGTCCCTGCGCCACAGGAAGCCCAGAGGACCGGAGTAGGACCTCCGACGCGAGGAAGAGGAGTAGAGGTAGGCGGCGCTGTGTGGGGGGCGGCTGGGGGAGCCAGGGAGGTCGGACCATCTGCCCGAGGGTCCGCCGTTCCTGACCTCTGGGGTCATAGTGCTCTGACCTTCATCATCGTCAGCGGGCAGCTGGCCTGTGACGGTGCTCACCGACTCCAGGTGGGTGAGGACCGGGCCGGGCATCTCAAGGTCAGACTCCAGGCTGTCTGCTGCGGATTACAAGAAATCAAACTGTTAAAGTTGCAGATCGTGGATAAATTGATGCACAAACATTATAAAGGGAAGTTAGTGTGTTGAAAGTACGTGTTTCAAGGGGGTTGATTTTTCAACGTAGTTTCAAAGTGCTGTAGAATCTTATTTGGACATACAGTCAATGTCTATCCCGGCTAGAAAAGGAAAAATGTATTCAGGCATGTTATTAAAAGGTGTTAAACAGTAAACTACATTTTGAAACAGGGCTCTTTGCAGACACCTTAGGGACACCTGAGGACCCCTGAGGAAACTGATCAAATGTTGGTACAACAATAACTGTTTAGAGTAATGAACCGCTGATTTTTTACAGCAGACATTGTGAGTTGTCAAAGTAGGAAAAGCACACGTTACAAATACCCTTAAAAGCGATAGTAGGAATTGTTTGAAGGGGTTGATTAATGTTCGTATCCATAGTCAGTAAAACACCAAAGTCACTGAATAACACAAACTGATGCAGGCAGGTGTAGACCAGCAACTTCTGCATGCTGCAAGTTAAAATTACAGATTTTTCTCAAAGGAGTTTGGTGGCTTTGAAGAGAGCATAGATAACGGTCTTAATACCCCGTCGCCATCTTCTGTAGGTAATACCCTCACTGACTATGGTTAGGTTAAACCCAACATCAAACCATCCCTTTAAGCAGCTGCACATTTCATTATTCACACTTTTCCTTGTCAAAATATCTACAGGATCAAAGACTTTAATCTATTTGATCTCACACAACATAAAACCCAAACACTTCAAATACATAAACATTATTTAATTTTTAACTCTACCGAAAACTCACATGGTCCCATGAGCTTGCAGGGCCGGATCCTCTCGATGATGTCCACACAGATGAGGGAGAAAAGCACCAAGGACACGGGCAACTCAGTAAAATGGTCGAGCTTGAGTCCTCTGTCCACCTGCACCTGAAGTACAACCCATTACAGCAACAGGAAACAAAAGAATAGTAAATTCAATAGGACAGAGAACTGATCTGCCTCTTATAAATCACGAGTAATGAAGCCGGATGAAACTGAATCGAAACCATTCATTATGGCATTTGGCTGGACTGACAAAGAGGAGCAGAGTTTTATGAAGCCATCCAATTTAACCACCCCATCATTATAGAAATAAAATGCTGCTATAAACTCACTTAAGACAAGCTGAAGAAGTATTAGATGGTGTTATTAAATGTATGATGTGTCCGGCGGCAGGTCTTTGTGTAGCCAAATGATCTTATTTATGTCATCGCCAAGGAGTATTGTCAAGGAATAAAAGAAAACACGTCACATTTGTGTATAGATTCCTGTCTGTTTTCAGAGGGGAGGATGGTACTTAAGTTTGGGTTAATGGCCAACCTGTTATGTTCACTGTGGGCTACTGAATACCCCAGACACAGCGTGCAGTCATGTGACAGTGGACACATTTCCTCTGTGGTTTACATATCATTACAAATGTGCCAAAGTCCCTCTCAATACACAGGGAGAAAATATTTGAGAGAGGCAAAATGTCAGGATACTTGGAAGAAGAATTGGTGACAAGCAATCAGTTTCTTTCTCTGAGGTGCAATGTGCCGTGTCGACCATCACTGAGTGAATAATAATAGTTCCCCAAGCACATACACAAGGGGGTCATAAAACCATCCCGAGCCACAAATGGACTGTTTACAACAAATATGGCTGTTCAAGGACCCCGTCGGAGCGTGACAGAACGAAACATCAACAGGTGCTTCTCTGTGACAAGAGCCATCCGCCTGTGTGACTCTACCTTGGAGCTGGCTATTAATATGGCAAAGCACGGGAACGTGCACAGCATGAGATACGCCAGCGCTGTCGGCCTCCTGAAAGACAAAAGGAGTTGATTTTAGTCAATCTGAATAACAGTTAGCCCAGTGTAAGGAATAATTGTTGAAAGTGCTTTTCTGAATGTATAAACTGCATTTCTTGTAGTGCTTTTGTCCGGCTTATTTTGCTACATTAAAGGACAATTGTTGAATAGATTTACTTGAGTACAATTATGTAGATACTTGAGTATTGTGTGCTACTTTATACTTGTATTCCACATCATTAGGAAGCAAATACTGCAGTTAGTAGTTACTTTGTAGAATAAAGCGAAATCATGTAAAGATAAACAGTTTCACATAATCATGGGATGATGTTAGAGCCATAATGCCAAAAACACTCAGTTACATCAGTAAGAAAGCAATATCTAGCTAAATTGGGCTAACATTAGCCACCGTAAACTAGTGATCATAACAGATCAACATACACCTGTACCATTAAAAGCCCTGTGACTGTATCTTAACAAGGATTTCTTTATTGTTTATGATTTCAGAAAAAATGAAAACAAAACATATACAATATGATACTTTGTTAATGATTAAGCAACAACACAGTAGTTAAGATTAGGTCCACATAAAACATCAGCAGTCATTTTGCATCATGGACACTTTTTGATATTTTGAAGAGTCAATTCTGATAATATTTCTGAACTGTCACAAGGTGTTTTTGTGTTGCAGCGTTGTTGCTTTTACTGAGGAGCTTCAGTGTTCCCTTTCACTTCTGCATTATTAGAGCAAGTACGTTCTATTCTGAGTAAGCCAAAATCCAAAAACTACCCTAAAAAGGTTTGTTCTCTCCTAACCATTCTGACCCTGACATTGATTTAATTTCTTCCCAATGGCTGTACTCACCACTGTGTGATCTCCGTGATAAACCTCCTCTTCTTCAGGATCAGATACTTCAGAGGCACCCACACCAGCAGGGTCACGGAGGTCACGTAGGCGACCGAGGCGGCCACCACCAGCCAGTAGGCCGTCAGATCCCCCCCTCTCACGTCCCGTATGAGGCCGGCAAACCTCTCCATTATGACACAGACCGGTATGATGAGGGCCGCGAACTGCAGCACCTCGTACAGGACGAACTTCAGCGTCTTCCCCGAGGGCATCGTCTCTGAAAACCAGTCGCTGGTCTGAAAAGACTTCGACAATCATCTCCCACAAAGCGACCGGACGAGCTTCTGGACTCTGCTCACTGAGACTGCTTACACTGCACTGGAGGCTGTATTATTTTATTGCCGAGGTAATCATGCTCGCCTTTTTATGGGCTCGCAAAAAAAAAGAAGTCATCCCATCACATAATTTCAAGGAGATGGTAAATACGTTCTGGAACGGTTACTTTGAGACTCACGTTTTAACATGTTTTTTGAAGAATTGAGTAATCAAGACATTGTTGAAATAAAGAAACTTTCAATAAAACAACTGTGATGAGACTTTAAAAGAATCCTCATTAATACACTTAAAATGCCACTTTCAAAATCAGTGTCATTGTCTTTAGCTGCTAAACAAAGCAGTTTTTCTGTCTTTTGTTGGGGACACTTAACATCTCTTCCCTTGACCTTGTTTTACACACACACACACACACACACACACACACACACACACACACACACACACACACACACACACACACACACACACACACACACAACACACACACACACACACACACACACACACACACACACACACACACACACACACACACACACACACACACACACACACACACACACACACACACACACACACACACACACACACACACACACACACACACACACACACACACAAACACACACACACACACACACCTAGTGGCAATACAGAGGACATGCCCTACAAATCTTAGGTATTTCTTAACACTTCACTTTAACAGGTTTAACACAAGCGGCAAACTGTGGGTAGAGCCGGGAAGCCAATACGGAAGTGCCACACACTGCAGTTCATACATGGGCCGCTAGGGACTGGCTGCAGAAAGGAGCAATTTCCATAGACCCCCATGTTAAAATGCCCAACTTTACAGCAGAAAAAAAACATGTTTCTACCCATGGATGCAATAAATATTATTATCGATATAGTTAGATTCCACCCTCATGATTATGAATCTGTGAGTGAATTGTTTTCTAACACGACCCTTTTATTTATATTAGGTCTTAAAGTGTTTGCATAAATTAGGGCGTGGTCACTTTGATGGACACGTACATGCCTCACTGTCAGGTAACAGCAACTTGTCCACTCTGCTAGGCTACAACCATAGAGGCTACAACGTTAGTTAGTCATAAGGCGCTTTCACACTGCGGTACTTTTCCCACAAAGGTTCATGTGAACTTAGTTCATGTGAACTCTTTTATCGCGTTCACACCAAAAAGAGCCGGTACTAAAATTAGTTCATGTGAACCTTTTTACCCCCTCGAACGGCTCTTTTGTGAGAAAAGAGCTACATTTCTGATTGGCTGGAAGGATTGCAAACCACGCCCCGTAAAACTCCCAAAAAGTTTTGTGAAGCCGCCATTTTATTATCCTCGCATTAGCATTATTAGCATTAGCATTAGCCCAAGGCAGAAACGCAGAGAGACTAATTTATGGCAACACAAAATAAAACATGGGAGCGGTGGAGATGAGGAGGTGTCGGCGTTCTGGCGATTTACTCGGAAGGCTTCAGTAGAAGCTGCTGGGAGTCCCAGCAGCTTCTACTGAAGCCAGTACCTAACTCCGGGGACTTCCGGCCGGGGACTTTGGGCGGCAGTATACGCCGTGAAGTGGTTTGCGGCCTGCCAGTAAACCCAAAGCAGAAGAAGAACAAGTGACGTCAGCGGCTTCATTTGCCTAATCCACCCCCAGGGACTTTTTCCAGTGTGAACGCGATCTGTACTTAGTTCATGAGAACTAAAGAGTTCTCATGAACTAAATTCACATGAACCTTTGTGGGAAAAGTACCGCAGTGTGAAAGCGCCTATAGTACTGTACTTGACCCTTTAGCTTTTGCCGTGTTCGTGGTGATTGTGCCTTTTAGGGAATATTGTTACAAATACCAGACAATTAAAATGTCGTGCTGTGCGCTTGAATGTACTAACAGAACTTCCAAGAAGTCTAAAATTATAATATTATACATGTTAACCCCGTTCGCAGGTGTTTGTGTGCTTGGTAGCTTAGCTTGTTACTTATTAGCCAGCTAAGGACGTAACCCTTTATGCATACATATACATTTTAATGTATGTATTTTATGATTCAGCCTTGGGTAAGACTTTTATAGTCTATGGCTAGACGCTCATAATGCTAAACGGGAGCAAATGTTAATAGGGGACCCGATTATCCCAGTGGTGGCCGCCGGAGCTAACGGAGCCGCAGGGGGCTAGCTCCAGCCGGCGTCCCGGAGCTAGCCCACTGCGGCTCCGTTAGGTCCGGGCGGTGGAGTCCGTCTTTTCTCAACGTGTGAATGACAAGCATTAAGAATAACAAAATATAGCTAATTCTCTTGCAGATTGTCTCATTTGATTATGAATGTAACGTTTATATAGGGGTACTACACTGTTAGCAGTAACTTGGTATGCATGTATTTCATGTTAGCTTAGCTTCTTAGCCTGAGCTAGCTCTGTTTACTTCCAGTTCGGAGGCAGCTGGTCCCGCCTCTTTGCCCTTATTTGGAGCAGGCGGGATTAGACTCTGACGTCACAGTCGAGCCGTTAGTGGCCGACTCCGCCTACTAAGGGCTTCACGGCAACTCTGCAGAATTGTATGGGTGACGTCACGGACACTACGTCCATTTATATATACAGTCTATGGTTGAACATAAAGGTAGAATGTATAGCAGGACCGTTTAACTGCACTTGTTTTAGATAAAAGTACAAGATAAATTAAGTGTATATTTTAACTGTCCAAACATCAATGAAAGTGCTCCATTAGTACTGTATTGCAAGATAAGCAAACAACCCCAAATGGTCATGATTTGATCAAAATGTTGCAAAACTCTGATTGGCGGCAACACCTGTTCTCGTGGATTGCCTACTTCACACAAGTGAGAAAAGCTACAAATTCACACTTAAAGCTGTTCTAAACTCCCAAAGGAAATATTGTTCATATTGTGAAATGGAACAAGCATGCATAACAATGTCTCCTTTAAAATGTCTCTCAGTAGTGAAACAGTTTAAGAAGCAAATCAAACAAAAACACATTTTACGAATCCATGAAGTGCTTTGAAAACAAGAGAACAAGGCTGTTCATATTATTCTGTACATTTGGCCTGGTTTTATTGTGAATACCAATTCATAAGTATGGTTCAAATAATACATACAAACAGCAGGATACAAGATTAGACTGAACCTTTACAATAAGTGTGTTTAAAACTTAAAAGCAGGCGGCATCTCAATCCTGTGCAGGTCACACCGGGGCTGCAGTGCAACAACATGTTAGATGTGGATAGTATGAGGGGAATTACTGGCTCCTGTCCCAGAATAGCTGCTACCTTTTAATATATCTGATATATTCAGCCCTCTTTGACTCAACAGATTAACACTACTCCACTCTTTAGTTGAAGGCAGCAAAAGAAAGATATCTTGTCTTTCAAATCAACTTTAGGAATGCTAACATCTGAAAAGTTCTAGAGAATTGAATGGCCTCCTAGTCCCAGGTACCAGAGCTTCATTTGGGGGGTGTTATATATTCTTAAAGAGTGGCACAGGGGTGGCAAGGAGGAGCAAAGTATCTCAGCGAAATTGAAATGACACACAAATCAGATTAGCACACATTTGTCCTGACTGCATAATCTAGTTCATTGTATCATAACTCCTTCATGTAGCATCATTCAATATTAAACAACAGATAAATAATATTCCTGTTTCTTCAACTTCTTGCAATCCAGTCAGTGTTTGAAAAACTTCCCAAAGACTTTAAACAGGTAAAGTCATGGAAGAGTTTGGTATGAGAACTACATTAGATCCACAGGTGTCACTGTAACGGAGCTCCTTAGAGAAACACGTGTTGACGGTGCTTTCCAGAATCATAAACCCTTATTTCGGTTCTCTTTCAGGTAGAATTTGTTTTAGTGTTAGACAGCTTCGAGAAAGGGTTTGAAATGCAATGGGGGAGGTACGATCAGCTTTTTTTCACATTACCATTTGACCCTACAGTACATTAAGCATGTATCAAACACTGAGAGAAATGTCCATGTTCTCATGTGAGCGATTTAAATATACAACTAAGTTAGACAGAATATCACATATTCCACTTTTCTCTGAATACATACATCCTGAACGGCTTCTCCATTTAAAATAGCATAACAATAATCAAAACATAAATTAAAATGCACTACAAAAAAAACATAGTATTCATTTTTTAACACTGACTAAAGAGATGCTTTAAAGACACTGGGGCTGTTCGGAGAGGTCGCCCCTTAGTGGCCGTTAGCACAGCGCCTGAATGGAGATGGAGCAAACCCACAACTAGGACGTAGAGCTGCTCATTCTTAAAAGGAAAACTCTGCAGTTTGATGGAAAGGGCGAATTATGTTGAGAAAATACAAATATCTTGTTTTCTGGCGGATTTTACTTTGTTCCTTTTGGCTTTTACACCTTCAGTTCAGCGGGGAGATCCTGACTGCAGAGTTCACCTTTTAGGCTGAGAGAATCACTCGGCGCTGTGCTAACATCCCGACCGACAATGAACTCGTCACGTGGCGTCACTACGAGTTTGGTACAGTATATACAGGAGTCATGTGCATGCTTAAATTCCTCCGGTTTCTTCTTCCCTCCAAAATAACAAAGTGGCTTCAGTTTTCAGTACTTCTAAAAGTTGACGACATATACAGAATGTAGTAACCTAACGTTTGCAGCATCGCTAAAAATCCTTTTTCTGAAAAAAAAGAAAGTGAAAGTAAGTCGACGCCCCTTTTTGTGTGTGACACGATTAGCACTGCGGGGGCTTTAAGTGTGTGAGAAGTGACCTTCAATTATAACACTGCTGAGGATGTGTGGACCACCTGGTGCAACTGTGTGTGTGTGTGTGTGTGTGTGTGTGTGTGTGTATGTGTGTGTGTGTGTGTGTGTGTGTTATGCTGTACACCTGCCTGTAGTGTGTATGTAGCTCCAGTGTGCATCTTGAAAGGTGGTGAGAAGGAATGCCCGTGTGTATTTCACACTTGATCAAATAGTAATCGCAGAAATATTTTGTCTTTTTGTTGAAACGGCTGCAGGAACACTTTCTATCTCAGAGCATTTTTGTTAACACTTTATATTAAAGGATTGTTACTTGTTACCAATT